GGGTGGATCGCCTGAGCTCAGGAGCTTGAGACCAGCCTGAGCAAGAGCAAGACCCTGTTGCTACTAAAAATAGAAAAACTAGCCAGACATTGTGGTGGGTTCCTGTAGTCCCATCTACTTGGGAGGCTGAGGCAAGAGGATCTCTTGAGACCAAGAGTTTGAGGTTGCTGTGAACTATGATGAGACAACACAGCACTCTACCCAAGGCAACAGAGTGAGGCTCTATCTCAAATAAATAAATAAAAGAATTGCTACCGGTTAACTCTTTAACCATTCCTCCTCATTAGTCTTGGTTAACTGAATTACTGGGCTCAGTTCCTGCCACCACCTAGTCTTTCCATCCCTTGGAGGCTATAGTCCTGGCTTTGTGCCCTCCACAAGGGCCACTAAATACAGGGCTTCTTCCCAGGCCCTCAAACTTGTTCCTTACCCACCCTTTTAGTTCTAAAATTTTTCATTACAAGTTTAACTATTTGCAAAGTATATGGTATCTGGCACATTCAAATACTGATATTTTAAAATGCTGTTTGAGACTCTTAACTGAAGCCCTTGGCATATAAAGGCCATTCAACACCCACTATCGGTCTTCTGAAAAACATTTGAGCTCTTCTTTAACCATTGGAAATTTTATAAAATTCCTTTTTCTCCCTGAATTTGTATTTCTTTTTCATGACCCTCTCAGAATTTCATGCCCAAATGGTGTGTTTAACACTTAGAAGTTTTATGAGCACCTATCATACTTCTGTTTAAAGAAGAAGTTTGGAAAAATTAAATTTAACAGAGTTATTTGAATGGAGAGTAACTTATTTATTAGGCAGCACCTAATTAGGTAACTTATTTATTGGAACCAGAAGTCTAGAAGGCTCTGCCTTAGTAAATGAGCTGTGAGCTTTTATAGGCCAAATGCTGATGGCGGGAGCAAAGGAAAGAAATTACCTGATGGGCTGGGTGCCAGTAGCTCAGTGAGTAGGGCGCCAGCCACATACACCGAGGCTGGCGGGTTCCAGCCTGGCCGGAGCCTGCTAAACAACAATGACAACTGCAACAAAATATAGCCGGGAGTTGTTGCGGGCTCCTATACTCCCTGCTACTTGGGAGGCTGAGGCAAGAGAATCGCTTAAGCCCAAGAGTTAGAGTTTGCTGTAAGCTGTGACGACATAGTAAAAAAGAAATTGCCTGATGGACTGCTGCTGGGCATTTGCCTTCTTTCAGTATGATCTGCTAAAGAGTACCTAGTTAGAGGTGAGCTGAAGGTTTGTGACTGGTGAAGTTTAAGGGTCATTTAACTGGTTACGTTGAGTTTTCATTTGCTGATGTAGAAAACACAGCACTGGAGCCATCTCATCCTAAAAGCCTCCCATTTTTTTTTTTAAACCCTTCTCTATATAAGAAAAGATACAGATCAGGTAAATTTCATATGTCAAAATATACTTGAGGGGTGTCGCCTGTGGCTTAAAGGAGTAGGGTGCCAGCCCCATATGCTGGAGGTGGTGGGTTCAAACCCAGCCTGGGTCTGCCGAACAACAATGACAACCACAAGCAAAAAAAATAAAAATAAAAAAAAAATAGCTGGGTGTTGTGGAGGGCACCTGTAGTCCTAGCTACTTGGGAGGCTGAGGCAGGTGAATCGCTTAAGTCCAAGAGTTGGAGGTTGCTGTGAGCTGCGATACCACGGCACTCTACCAAAGGGGACATAGTAAAACTATTTCAAAAAAAAAATTACTTGATTCATAAGTGAGTCAGTGAGTTTTTTAATTGATATAGTTGAATAAAGGCAGTATAGTAGAACCTCCAAAGTTGACTACCTCCAAAGCTGACCACCTATGAAGTTGACCTAATTTTCATAGACTGGACATGTACCACATGTTCATACCAGTACGGTAGGCCCAGAGTGGATATTATATACATACAGGGAACCAGCCTTTCTTCAGCCTTTGTGTTTCTCAGTCCAAGATTTGCACCCCAGAAAGAGAAGTTCTGACCTACCTGGCTTGGATCAAGCTTGGTCTTAGCCCCATCTTTGACCAGGGGAAGATGGAGCCATTTGAATGATACTTCTAAAACAATTTCCAGTGAGGGATGGAGGAAATACTCCCCAGCAAAATCAGGGTGCAATTACTAGATGAGAAGGAAAGTGATTAAAATGTCAGTCTCATGGGAATCATAGATGCCTACTACAGATGCCAATGGTTGGATTCCAAGTTAAGAGTTCTAGATCTAAATAGGTTTGAGAAACTTGAATTAGACCAGGAGAAGTCCTAAGAGCCTCCAATACCTGCACTGTGGCCCTCGAAGCAGTGGGTAGATGATGCATGTCTTCCCCCAAGCTTCTTTAACTGAGTGTTACGGACATGTTAACATCTCGGAACCCAGTTAGGGAAACCCTGACCCGATTGGTCTCTGCTGACTCTTTTGGCTCTGAGATCCAGTGACCCTCTTAGGAAAATGCAGTTTCTTCCCCCAGGCAGCTCTATTCTGTCTAGCTGTGTGTTAACTGGGTTGGAGTCGGTTTCTAGCACTTACCTGGACCACCTGCAGGTTTCCAGATGGTGGACACAGCCTGAGTAGGGGAGGTGACTTGTCTCAGGTTTCAGCCAGGACTAGAACCCGAGTCTCCTGGCTCCCAACTCAGCATCTTATCCTTATGCCCCAATGCTGGGGGAGAAGTGAAAGACAGACACCCATGGGAATCTCAGTCAGGAGGCCTCTTTCTCCCTCCCCTACCCTCATCCCTGGCCACCTACCCTCTAAGCAGGGTTCCTTCCAGGAGAGGGGAAGGTTGCCTTCACCCTTACTGCTGCCTCTGTCCTTAGAGGCAGCCTCAGCCAACTCTGGCCACTGTGAGGCAGCTTGCTAATTGTCTGCCTTTCCAGATAAGCCAAGCTCTCTGCTGATTAACTAGGACCTGACCCACACCTTAAAGAATGGGCAGGGTTTCACCAGGGAGGGCCAGAGGTAGGATGAACCACATGAGCAAAGGAGGAGTTGGCAAGGGCACATCCTGGGTAGAAAGGATTACTATTTGGTTAACACAGAGAGTTCCTTTGATGTTTAATGGTGGGACAAAACTAGTAAGTATGCTGGGGACATAATGTAGTGTGACTTAAATACATTTTGACCCAGCAATTTCACTTCTAAAATGTATCCCAACAGTGGCGCCCGTAGCTCAGTGGGTAGGTCACTTGCCATATACACCCAGCTGGCGGGCTCGAACCGGGCGTAGGCCAGCTAAACAACAATGACAACTGCAACAACAACAACAAAATAACTGGGTGTTGTGGCGGGTGCCTGTATTCCCAGCTACTTGGGGAGCTGAGGCAAGAGAATCGCTTAAACCCAAGAGTCTGAGGTTGCTGTGAGCTGTGACCCCACGGCACTCTACCCAGGGTGACAGCTTGAGACTCTGTCTCAATAAATAAATAAATAAATAAATAAAATTTATCCCAAGGGACTAATCCACACAAATGCACAAAAATGTATATATTAAGATATTTAATCACTACATTGTTTCCAAGGCAGGAAACAACCTAAATAGCTATTAATAACAAAGTAATGATATAAAAATGGCATATCCAATCAATGAGTTATTTGACTTTTATTAAAAATGGTGAATTAGATATGTCTGACCAGAGAATGTATTCGTAACATGTTAAGTTAAAAAAACAGGTGTAGGCTCGATGCCTGTGGCTCAGGTGGCTAAGGTGCCAACCACATACACTTAAGGTGGCGAGTTCGAATCCAGCCCGGGCCCACCAAACAATGACGGCTGCAACCAAAAAATAGCCAGGTGTTGTGGCAGGTGCCTGTGGTTCCAGCTACTTGGGAGGCTGAGGCAGGAGACTCACTGGAGCCCAGGAGTTGGAGGTTGCTGTGAGCTGTGATGCCATAGCACTCTACCCAGGGGGACAGCTTGAGGCTCTGTCTCAAAAAAACAACCAAAAAAAGGTGTAAAACAGATTATGACTGAAAGGTTCTGGACCCAAGGATAAAATCATTCCGAGACACAAGATGAAAGGAAGACAGAAATCAAATTCATGCAATTAAAGTGGCTTTTATTCCACCTGGAGTGTAGGTGGAGTGAGATTCCTGACTAGGGAGAAACCCGCACATGGGCTATGGGCAGACAGGGATTTAAAGGGTTAGGGCAGCCAGGATTGGTCTGTGCCTCCCTTTATGGGGGGTGGGACAAAGTTAGGGAGGTCTGGATTGGTCCATTAACTATTTCCTGGGAGGGACATGCTTTCCAGGAAAGGGATCCTTCCTGGGTGGGTCAATAACTTGATTCTATCAGTAAACTTTATTTTTATAAGGTAAACATTTCCACTGATGTCTAAATTTATGGATAGAAAAAAGTTTGCAGGAAGAAGAATCAAAATGATTGCAGTAATTGTCTCTGAGTTATAGAATTACAGGCAACTTTTCTATTGTGTTATTCTTTTTATTTACCTGTGTTTTCTAATTATTCTACAATGAATATATGTTTGATAATTATTTCACAAAGTTAAAAAAAAACTACCTTGGCAAGTAATCTGAACCTTTCTTGTAAGGTGATGCAAATTAACTTTTTAGAAAATTAAATAACTGAAAATACCCTAAGCAAGTTAGCCAATTGATTGAGTTCATGGAAACATTATTAAGATAGCAAAAAGTATTGCAACCTTTATTTCTCTGACAAGTTCTGATTTCTGAATGTCACTTTTCTGCACAAGATAACTACAAGTCAACTCATTAAAGGGAATAGCAGAGCAAGATTAGGCCTTGTCACGCCAGGCCTGGGTGGTGTTTTCTGGAAGCATCCAATTGACAGCAGTGTTTTATAAAGCAGCAAAAATACCAGATTAACCATGGGTAGTAAAATTGCAATCAAGGGCCTGGGGTGTGGCTTTGTGATGGATATTGTTTTCCTGTTCTGGGTTATTAAACAGTTGAGTGTCAAATGTGTGCTGGGGCCCCTTGGCTTAGGCCCAACTCACATCTGCTCCTGTGGACTTTCCTTACAGGAAAATTTGATCGGTGCCCTGTTGGCGATTTTTGGGCACCTTGTGGTCAGCATTGCCCTTAACCTCCAGGTAAGTTTCAGTCTCTAGCACTGTCTGGGACAGACTAGCTGCCTCCTTTCTGTGGGGACTTGCCTTCTACATCCCTGGGTTATACTAGGGACGATGCCTATGGGCTATTCCAGAATCTCTCTTGATTCGGTGCCCACTTCATTCCTACTATTACTCTCCTAGCCTGGTCCTCACCTGCCTCCCGGGCTGTACAGTGGCCTCCTAATTGGCCTCCTTGGCTCTGATCTCATCCTCTCCTGTTTACCTTGCTGTGAGGTTGCCATAATTATTGTAGTTTCATCAAATCAACTCTGATTATAACAGTGTCCTTTACTTAAAAATCTCTAGGGCTGCCCTGTAGTACTGCTGTAGATAGGCACCCCCATGGCCATCCCCTTGGCCCATCTGAAATTCACAAGCAGCTGTTATTTGGAGCAAGTTGGTAGCTTGAGGAGCTTCTTGTGGGACTCCAGGAAGTGGTTTTCCAGCTGGCAGGTGTAGCTGGGCTGTGTGTTGGGGGAGGGGCTGTTAACACACCGCTGAACTTCCTCCAGGGGGCTATAAGGGTCAGTGGATAAATGCCCCAGGTTCTGGTCCTCTGTCAGAATGAATGATTCCCAGGTGAATTTCACAGGGTTTTTTTTTTTGAGTGTTCCCAGTGAGACTGAGCCCAGTTGCCCAGGGGACTAATTCACTCATTTTTATACCCTTCCTTGGTTCTCCATTCCCTGTGTTTCATCTTCCCTTGTGTTTCATCTCCCAAACTAACTGGAATCATCATCTCCCAAACTAACTACCTCCAATCTGCTCTCAAGTCTTTGTCTCAGGGACTGCTTCTGGGAAACTCAAACTAACCCTTGACACTTGCCTTCACTGCACCAGCACCACCCAGCTGCTGCCTGCAGTGACCTGCTCTCCCTCCCTGCAGCAGGCATGAGCCTGTAATCCTGCAGACACATGTGTGTGCCCAGTCCACCTGTACCTTGTGCAGCTCAGCTCCCATGCATATGTGTGAGTGTTTCCAGGTGTTGCTGAACCTTGCGTGATCTCTTAGCTACTTGTGTGGTTCATTCTCTTCTCTCTGCAGACCAGCATCTGTGCTTACTAATCTGCATCTATGCGGCTTGCATCATGATCCTCCCCAAATGGCGGGCTTGGCCCGCTAAGTCAATAGGACTTTCTAGCTGTGGTTGGTTATTGTCTTGATTTCTATGTCCCAAGTTCACGTTTTCCCCCGAAAGAATATTGGCCATGCTTGAGCCAAGTATCCATCTCAGGAAGGGCGAGGTCCACTGATGCCCACCAGCTATCCAGGAGGACTGCTGGCATGGTGTGCAGAAGTGGGGCTAACTGAGTGGGCTTCCCAAATATAGAGCAGGTCAACCTGAGGCGCGGGCCACAGTGGAATCCTGAGATCACGGTGCCCACCCTGAGACTGCCTGGCTGTGTGTTAAGAATGTTCACTCTTTTCCGGGCCTTACCCCTACTTCCCTCTGGCTGAATCTGAAGATGAAGCTTTTGTATTGAAAAAATACAAAGCTTCTCAGGGACCTTTTAAGGCTTCCCAGCCAGTCGGAGACCTACTGTCCTGGGATAAACATCTAGTATTTAGAACCTTGCTGCTTTATATTTCTCAGAGTAAGGATGCCAAAAGAACTTAACAGGTATTCCCAATTTATTTTCAAATATGGGGGGGAGTAGATGTGGGATGTGTATATCATAGAATTTTTTTCCCCTACACATCTGGGCAAATTGCATTCTTTCTTGGATTTCTAGAAGTATAGCCACATCCGCCTCGCAGGCTCCAAGGACCCCCGGGCCTATTTCAAGACCAAGACATGGTGGCTGGGCCTGTCCCTGATGCTGCTGGGTGAACTGGGCGTGTTTGCCTCCTACGCCTTTGCTCCGCTCTCCCTGATCGTGCCTCTCAGCGCAGTCTCTGTGATAGGTAAGACCAAGGCCCCACCCTACCTTCCCCTGGGGCTCACCCACCTCTGTGGCCACAGAGTCACCACTAGGATCAAACCAGCTTTTGCTTTGATGATAACAGCCTGACACAGAGGGCTTTGTACACCCCAGGCCTTGTTCTCAGTGCTTTACAGATCTTAATCCTGCTAGTCCTCCCAGCTACCTTTTGAAGGAGATGCTCTTATTATCCCCATTTTATAGGTGAGGAAACGGAGGCATGAATTGAAAGGGCTGAGTAACAGGGCTGGGCTACGAACCAGAACGTCTGGCTCCAGAATTTAAGACTCAGAAACCTTCTCAGAATTGCTTTTTGTTTCTATGGCAGGAGGAAGATAAACCCTGACCTATTCATCTTTAAACTGTCAAGATAGAGGAAGCTTTCATAGGGCTCACATACCCCATACCTCTAAGAAATGCATCTTCAGCTTATTCTCTGATTTTTTTTACATCAGCTGACACCATTTTAAAAACATCATTGACTTTCTCCTCTGCCATTTTTTTCCCATGATTTCTGTCCTCAGGGACCTGGTGTTTCAGAGCATTTGACCCAACTAAAAGACAAAGGATGTTTAATGTTCGGGGGATCACAAATAAAATAGACTTAGAAAAACCATCATTCTTAAAAGATGTTAGTAGATAGCAAACAATAGCTTTTTGTACACAGGAGCTGGGATGCCTGAACTTGCTTTGAAATGTTTCCTTCTATTTTGCAGCAAGTAATTCTTTGCTGAGGTGTTCTTCCCTGCTGTTAGGAGAAAGCCATATTTGGGGTCTTATTCCTTCTGGCGTTAAGGCCTCTTCTATATCCCGCGTTAACTATGTGCTCCCTCCTGTGCTCAAGGCAGACATCATCAATCGATTATAGCATTCCTTCCCATCAACTCTAGACGGGGCCTCCCGTTCTCAGCACTTCAGGAAGTCACTGCCAATCACCAGGAGTTGGCAAAGGAGCAGGAGCCTTTTTGCTTTCCCTGATTCTGTTATAAGACCCTCTTTTTTTCCTAGCTAGAGTTGGTAAACTAGTTGCCTACCAGGTAAATGAGTTGCTCAGACATGATGTCTTTTCTCCCACACAGTACGTTTTTAAATGTAATTAGAATGTCTTCATTTGAGGCAAGTAGTTTGCCATAGTCTCAACCTTTCCCTATTGTCTTACTTCTGGTTCGTTTTCTACATTTATGTTACCACCCAGCCCTTCTAGGTCATTAGATCTGTACCCTTATCTCTCTGCTCTGCCCATTGCTGGCATCTGCAAAGGGTTCCCAGAACCTTTATTCACAATGAGGAATAAGTATCTGGGTGATCAGTGATGTAAGTATTAGTTTTTGAATTTTTATAAGAATCAAAAACCAAATTCTTAAAAATAAGGGCTAAATTATAATGATGAGCCCTCAGCTATCAGCCACTAGAAATTAAGGGGCTCAAGCTCGGTGCCTGAAGCTCAGCAGCTAGGGCAGCAGCCACATACACCAGAGCAGGCAGGTTTGAACCCAGCCCAGGCCTGCCAAACAACAATGATGACTACAACAATAACAATACAACAAAAGCCAGGCATTGTGTCGGGCACCTGTAGTCCCAGCTACTTGGGAGGCTGAGGCAAGAGAATCGCTTAAGTCCAAGAATTTGAGGTTGCTGTGAGCTGTGATGCCATGGCACTCTACTGAGGGCAACATAGTAAGACTCTGTCTCAAAAAAAAAAGAAAGAAATTAAGGGGCTCTAGAGCTTCTGAAGTCACCCAGTGAAAAATAACATTAAAAATAATAATACCATTTATTGGATACCTACAACTTTATCTATCTTAATCCATCCCAAATACTTTCATAATAACAACTTAGTTATTGAGCATTTACTACATGCCAAATGACTCATGTATGTGGTCTCATTTATTAAACAATTGTCCCGGCTCAGCGCCTATAGCTCAACCGGCTAAGGCGCCAGCCACGTACACCTAAGGTGGCGGGTTCGAATCCCCAGCCCGGACCCGCCAAAACAACAATGATGGCTGCAACCAAAAAATAGCTGGGCGTTGTGGCGGGCACCTGTGGTCCTGGCTACTTGGGAAGCTGAGGCAGGAGACTCGCTTGAGCCCAGGAGTTGGAGGTTGCTGTGAGCTGTGATGCCACGGTACTCTACCCAGGGGGACAGCTTGAGGCTTGGTCTCAAAAATAAAAAATAAAAAAATAATAATTGTCCCTATAACTCAGAGAATATTTTCAGTGGTGTGCTGGTAAGCAGTCTTTCAGAGACACAAAGGAAAGAGGGAGGGAGGGATGGAAAAGTGGGAAAGAGGAGAAGGAAGACCTGGTTTGTAGCATTTGCCAATTTATGTGATGCACACATTATTTATTCCCGCTGAATAATTTCCGGCTACCACTGATTTTCTGAATATTTAACAATCAGCAAGCTGGTGCCAACTGGATTCAACATGCTATTTCATAGAGAACTGAGACTCAGGTGAAGTGACTTACCCAAGGACATGCAGCTGGAAAGAAGCAGAACTAGGATGGTGACCCAGGTCTGTTCACAGTGACTGCCAACCCCATCCTTCAGGGCAGTCCCAGGGGCTCTCAAACCTATCTGTCAACATGGAAGAGTCAGGGGGAGAAGAGAACCCGGGGAAATGTCAAAGGTAGGTGCTGCCGTGGGAGCAGCACTCCCGTACCAGCTGCATGATCTTGAGTGAGTCCCTTACCTCATTCAGCTTTAGTGTCCCCATTTGTCATATAGGGATAATGATAGCACCCACCTGTAAGGGTTGACATGCCAGAAATCAGTTGTGCAAATCGCCTGTCATACAGCAAGCATTCAACATACAGTGCATGTGGCCTGGTAGGAAATCTTCAGGAAGGCTCAGAGAGCAGCCTGCCTTTCAGAGATGGAATAACAGAGGAGGGGGGGTGGGTAGAGAGAGCGATGGGGAGTAAGAGGTTGGGAAGTCCCAGGCCCAGAGAGCGTGGCTGAAGGGATGCCCTCTAATGGACAAGCAGCCTCATTCTCTCTCCCCTGTGTTTTGTATTTCAGCTAGCTCCATCATAGGAATCATATTCATCAAAGAAAAATGGAAACCGAAAGAGTTTCTGAGTAAGTTCAGTGATTTCAACCCTGTCCTTAATTTTATGCTTATGTTTTTTATTCGTTATAAAACCGGCTTATCCTGATTTAGGGAACATCTGCCTTCTGTTCCCTTCTGTGGTTCTGTATTCCACTCTCACCGGAGAGCTGAGTGTTTAAATCAGCCTGGCAACACATCACCATCACCTGTGAGACTTTTAAAATGAAACTTTTGTTGTTCGTTCTGGTCAGTCAATACCGAGCACCTATAACTGGGATTTTAGGAGGCCACATAAAGGGCACTATCTTTCCCTGATGAGTAATGGGAGTCAAACACAGGATGCCATAAGTTCTACTTTCTCTCCAACAAAGGTTGAGCGTGCAGCTTAGGTGTGTAGCCAAGTGACCGTGCTCACTCTCGGCCCCAAGATGCCCCAGCTCCCAGTTAGACCTTGAGCAAGTTCCCCCAAAGGAACACAAGGATTTATAGAACAGAGACTCTTACTCAGAATCATTCATGGCCTCATACAGTTTCAGCAGAGATAGAAGAAAATAGAAAAAGCTCCCGCATTTAAAGTTTTTTCTTAGGTAGATTAGCTGTATGCAATTAAGAAATGTGGACCAATAGGGCAAGAGGCAGAAGTGTCACTCAGATAGAGATTCCTCTATCTGGAAACTCCAGGAGTGGAGAAGAAGTGTTCCTTCCAAACACCTACTAAGTGCCCTGCTCTATTGTAGGTACCAAGGATATAGCACTAGGGAAGATGGGGCTCCTGCTCTCACAGAGGTTACTGTGAGTGTGTGTGTGTGTGTGTGTGTGTGTGTGTTGGGATACGATAAACAAGTGAACAACCAAGTGAACAAAATAATGTCAGGTTGTAGTGCTTCAGAGAAAATGGAATATTTTTGGTGGGGATGTAGGGAGGTGAAGACATCTCTCCTAGACTGGTCAGGGTTAGACTCACTGAAGAGGTAACTTTTGAGCCCAGACCCACATGATACTAAGGAGATTGCCATGCCCAGGTACACATATGAGCCACATAGAGGGGACAGCAGGTGCAAAGGTCCTGAGGCAGGAGTAAGCTTGATGTGTCCAGTGTTAGTAAGGCCAGTGTAGCTGGAGGGTGGTAAGCAAAGAAAAAGGAAGATCGAGGTCATGAAGGATTGGATGATCTAGGACGTTGTGGGCCATGCCAAAGAGGTGACTTGATAGTGGGCCCAGGCTCTGTCTCAGAGACACTGAGGTCTGGGCAGGGACCCAGCATTGGTATTCTTATAAAGCTCCCCAGGGTGAAGTTTATGCGATAACAAGAAGGATTAATGAATGGATAGAGTATTCTAGAGAGATGGATAGACATATGATAAAGCAAGTATAATAAAATGTCAATTTAGAATCTAGGTAAAAAGACTACATTCTCACTATATAACTCTTTCAACTTTTCTCTGTGTCTGAAAAAAATTATTTTATTTTTATTTTATTTTATTTATTTATTTTAGAGTCTCACTCGTTCACTCTGGGTAGAGTGCTGTGTCATCATCATTGCTCACAGCAACATCAAACTTTTGGGCTCAAGTGATTCTCTTGCCTCAGCCTCCCTAGTAGCTGGGACTACAGGCACCTGCCGTAATGCATGGCTAGTTTTTCTCATTTTAGTTTTGACAGGGTTGTTCTTTTGCTCAGGTGGTCTTGAACTCCTGAGCAATCCACCTGCCTCTGCCTCCCAGAGTGTTAGGATTACAGGTGTGAGCCACTGCGCCTGACAGTGTCTGAATAATTTTAAAATAGTATTTCAGTGGGAAGAAACTCCCAAGATGTTGTGGACATAACAGCCAGGTTTGGGAACACTGTTCTGAGTCATTGGTATAGAATAAAATCAGGGTGGGGTCTAGCAGACCCAAAAGAGAAAAGATGCTGAACTGAAAAAGGCAGAACTGGAGGCTCTGGATCTATTGCCAAGAAGCCTGAGAAACTTCGACTGATTAGCCATAATACTGATGGTAAGGGGTCAGGGGACCCTGGGCTGATTCTGAGATGAGTATCGAGATTTGCATCCCTTCCAGGGTTACTCTGGCTAGTCCTGGGACAAGAGCCATGCTAGTCTAGGCAGTGCCGTATGTGAATTAGAGAAAGATGGCTCCCCTGACCATCTACAGCTTTGAAGGCACAAGCCTTGGTGAGCAGAGCCTGGGCTGGGTTTTAATCCTTCTCACTCCTTCACCCAGGTACCCTTGTGCAGTAAGCAATCTGCACGGCTCTACACGGCTGCCCTGCCTACAGTTCCATTAAATTCAGCAAACACTCAGTACTAGACCTGTGCAGGACGCCGCAGGCGTAGAGATGAGTAAGACCCAACCCTGCCTGAAGAAAACTTAAGACAACAGACTTACTGTATTTAGTTGAAGCAGGGTTCATTCATTCATTGATTGAATAACTGAACCATTTTTTGAGTACCTCTTACAGTATTTATAGCACCTCATACAGGGAATAAAAATAAAAGAAATTTAACATGGTATCAGATTTTCTGGAGACAGTGGGACAGTTAGTTCTATCCCAGAAAAATCCAGAGATCTGTGATCACCATATGTGCAGCTCAGAACTCCCAGCCCTTTACACCTTGTCTAGGGCTGGGCTGGACTTGAAGAGGCTTTTCACTAACCCCACGGTGTTCAATTAGAGTTTGACTGGACCCCAGGGAAGAGGCATGAGGCTCTTGGGTCACCAACAGTCTCTGACAGGTCTGTGGGGTAGAATATTGATAAGTATTTAGGTAGTTCTCTTGGAAGTAGGTCAGATAACCAGTTGGCAAAAGGATGAATTTTTAAAAGGCATGTGTTAGATTCTGATGGTTTGCTTACAATGTTTTGTATTATTTGGTTCTTTAGTCTGCCCATAAAACGATTCTAGCTGTAAAATGAATGCTAAAATCACAATGCATACTAGCATGGCTTAAATGAAAGAGACAAAATATAAGTGTGGACAAGATGCAACCAGAACTCTCATCCTCTACGGTGGGAGTGTAAATTGGTACAACCACTTGGAAAACCAGTTGACGCCAAACTGAACATTACACATCCGGTGACCCAGGAATTCCCCTCCTCGCTTTATACCCAACAGAAATGCATACATGTGTCTCCCACATGTACAAGAATGTTCATAGCAACCCATATAACCCCAGCCTGGAGACTTCTTGAACATCTGTCAACAACAGAATGGATAAATTATGTTGTGGTCACGATGGCCCACTGGGCACAGGATGAATGAACTGCCACCACTATACTCCACAACACAGATGAATCTCACAAACATCATACTGAATGAACACAGACTAAGAGATCATACTGTAGGATTCCGTTGATATAAGGTACAAACCAGACAAAGATATCAATGGTGTTAGGAGTCAAGATAGTGTTACCCTGGGGACAAAGTGTAGTGAATGGAAGGGGGCACAAACATGGAATTTGGGGGTATTGCTAATGTTCTTTCTCTCTCTCTTTTTAGAGACAGATTCTCACTCTTTGGTACAAAAGAAACAATTTTGTGTGGTGCAATCATAGCTCACAGCAACCTTAAACTCTTGGGCTCAGGCAATCCTCCAGCCTCAGCCTCCTGACTTGCTAAGACTATAGGCACCTGCCACCATGCCCAGCTGATTTTTTATTTTTTATAGAGACAGGGTCTCACTGTGTTACCTGGGCCAGTCTCAAACTCCTGGCCTCAAGTTATCCTTACACCTCGGCCTCCCAAAGTGATGGGATTACAGACTTGAGCCACCTCACCAGGCCTAATGTTCTCTTTTGAGCTGGGAACTGGTTTCATGGTTGTCTTCA